TTGATACTGATCATCAACGGGCTGGCATGTTTACAAAACCCTTAGCCATTGAAAGATTTGATTTTATCAAAAAGAATATGAACATGGTCTTTATTAAATAATAATGCTTGTTTTTTAATAGAGTGTCAAAGTATGATGTAGATTAGAAGTAGCTTGAGTTAGATTTTTGGAAACTGCCTTTGAGGAAAAATGGCTTCTGAAAGACTCCAGAATTTGAGACTCTAGAGTGGATTATTTGCTTCATATAACGTTTAAATGGAAAATTGTTTTGTCTTCTTCTGACATGTGTTCCACTTAATAAGTTCACACACTTGATAATTATCTTTCCTGCTTAGTGGTTGAATGGGTAAAGTCTAAAGAGTAACGATGTTAAACCTCTTTAACTTTTGTGTATATTCTCCTCTGTCCTCTCTTCATTTTTTAATTTTATATATATATATATATATATATATATATATATATATATATATATATATATATATATATATATATATATATATATATATATATATATATATATATATATATATATATATATATATATATATATATATATATATATATATATATATATATATATATATATATATATTTTGTGTTTGTACTTTATGTTTGTTTTGGTTCTCTATAAGATTATCTTTGAGTGATATTAAACCAAAGATAGTTGACTATATCTTTGGGAACATCAATTTAAATTATTTTATTTTGTTTCTACCTTCTTTGTCTAAATATATCTTTTTTGAAAACCCTTTCCTGAGATGGCCTATAGATCTAATATTGGTATGGAAAACCAGCTAGTAGTTATCATAGAAAGACTTGTTACATATGTTTTTCTTCAAAAACAGTTGGAATCTTCTGATTTGATCACCTGTCCATTCTTGTGTTTCCATATAAGCCTTATAGTCCTCATCTCTGTCATCTTTTGCTGGATATTCCTTCTTTCTAAACTTTTTCATTGTTGTTTCTCTACTTTTGTTCTTTTCAGAAACCTCAGCATATGTGCCTTCTTCTTCTATAGATGAGGATCTCCGAGCCTTTGCAATTTCCTCAAATTTATGCTTATCTTTCCTTGCCTACATTTTCATCAATTTGCGTATCTCCTTTTGAAAATATCTCTTTTCATTCTTGAATGGCTTTGTTTTGCCCATTTTTTTGCTGCATAGAAAAACTCTTGAGGAATGTGATCAGGTTGTTAATTCAACATATGCTTTTATAGAGGTGTTTTTGAGCCAAACCTTTTCAGTGTTAAAGATTACATTCGTTGAGTCTTGTTCTTGCTTGAGTCCTATTTCTTGAAGATTATGTTGTCAGAATCTAACTTTGACTATCTTGGAAATTATGGAGTAAATGTTTATTTATCACCAGTTTTCCCGGTTTACTCTTTATCATTTTTTATCAGTATCGTTTCACTTTCTGCTCACCTATTTTTTATTTCTTTTTGTTGATGACAAAAAGGGTTTAAAATTTTTGGGAGTACTTAAAGAGGATAAAATTTTTTGAATGCTTTTATATAATAAACCTGAATCCTTATTATTATTTTTTTGGTATTTTTATCTGAAAATTATTTTCTTATGTTATCAAGATAAGTTTGAATAACATAGATAGGACTTAGGGGGGACTTACAAAATTCAACCTTTGAACTATTAGACTCAGAGGGAGCTTATAAACCTCAGACCCTAATGTTATCAAGTTAGTTAAACTGACCAACCAATATTCTTAAATACCTTTGTTTGTCATCATCAAAAAGGGGGAGATTATTGAAACAAAATTGTTCATGACCCTTGGGTTTTGGTGATAACAAAGTATTTAAATAGCAATTCAGTATACCAACATATGTTCAAGTGTGTAGGATCATAAGCTTAAAATTCAACTAAGGATTTATCACCAGTTCATGGTATCTCTACTTTTGGTGACAACTCAGGTTTTGAATGAACTGAGCTAAAAGGTACTCTGCTTTTGAACCGTACTATGTCTCCAAAGAAGATCGATCATGTCAACGCCATATTAGAGTTTCTTAGTGCAGGGCTCAAGAAAAGTTAATGTGACTTCTTAAGTCTGCCCCAACATCTTGGTAGATACCTAATATGAGAAAGACGTTTTGGATAAAGTTATTTCACAAAGGATAAAGGATTAACTTCCAACGTCTCTTTTGGAACTGCGTCTCAACAAAGATCTCTTATACAAGTTACCTTCTAACGTCTCTTTTTTACCCTTCTATAAAAGGAATTGAAGATTTGAAGGAAGAACTAACTAATGAACCTTCTAACAAGAACAACACTACACACAACTTTGAGCTAAAGTTTTTAACTGTTCATTTCACATTTTTTTAAGATTTCTTATTTGTGTATATCTTAGAAATCTTAAGTGTTTAAGAATCTTTATGTGTGTTGTATCACTTCTATACTTCTAATTTTGCATCAAGTATGATTGTGATATATTCTCCTAAACTATTTGTTTAGAGTATAGTAAGTCTTTTGCTAGTTTTCTTGAGCAGTGGAAGTCTCTTTCCTGTGTGCTTGAGCATAAGTCTCTTGCATGTGAAGTCTCTTTCTAGTGTGATTGAGCAGTTGAATTCTCTTGCTAGTTTGCTTGAGCAAAGTGTAATCGATTTGATTATAGTGAAAATCTCTTGTTAGACAAGAGGACTAGACTACACTCAGTTTAGGAGAGGAACCAAGATAAATGTGTGTGTTGCTTTATTTATTGCTTTTGATTATTATTCATTCTGCTGCTAACAACTCTGAGAACAAATTCTGGACTTGTTCAGATTCTGAAGTTGGTTTATCAGAAGTGATAATGAATTCAAATACACAATTCAATCCCCATTTTTTTTATATTATTCTCACCTTTAATGACAACAAACCTTTTTGAATCCATGAATGACGTATTCAAAGTTATTATAAACATACTAATAACTGCGTTGGTGAGAGTAACCTATTTTAGGTTGTGATCATTTTTTGCAACTAGAGGCGAAAAATGGCATTTAGTGTTACGGTCAGAACAAATATTCATGGAAAGTTGCTTGAAAGTGATGAAGGAGGAAAGTCTCAAAGTTAGCACACATGCCGCTACAATATTTGACTGTCATAGACACACTTTTAGTGTAAAGAAAATAATGGACCACAATGAGGGGAGGCGAGATGAAGACTATCGGGTCCAACTAAATAGAGGTTGGAGTGACTGTGGCAAGTTTCAAGCCTTTTGTATGTCTTGCTCCCATATCATTGCGGCATGTTCATATGCTTTCCAGGACGCTTCCAAGCATATATCTGATGTTTGCAAAGGCATACATGTATTAAATGTGTACTACAATAACTTCCCAGTGGTAACAATGGAAGATTATTGACATATATATCAAGGGGACATGATTTGACACAACAAAAACATGCGACGGAAGAAAAAGGGTCGCCCTAACAACACGTGTATTAGAAGAAAAAAATAGATACGACTGATAAAATGGTAAGATTATATGGTATATGTTGTCAACCCAGACACAATCGAACAAATTGTCCCAATGTTGGAGTAAGTTCTACATGATCATTTATTTTTTTCTTTATTTTATTTTGGTGTATATATATAAATACCCATAAACACCAAAAAAAAATTTCGCACACGAACGACACACGACATACATACCGACATAACAACAACACAAACAACAAATGAAAAGACTTAACACCACAACATGTCTAAGAGATTACAACAATCAAAACAATGTCATCTGCTATAGACATCATATCTCTAACATCATTGTCATCTTTAACTCGCACCCACATACGCTGGATAACATTATTCTCATATGCAATTGAGATGTACGAAACAAGTCTCTCGATACTTCTAATTTTTTCTCCATCATTAATCTCTATGTCTAACCAACTTTTCAAACTCCTTCAAAATGCTCGAAACTTTGAACATTGCAAAAAAGCATTTTCATTGAAGGTTTCGTTGTCGAATAACATATATACTCATATTTTTTGTCAACCATGATAGAGCTGGTAAAGAAAATAAAAGAATTTAAAATGAGTTGTGAAGTGAAGTAAATGGTAAGAGACACCTCTTACCACGTTTGGCGTCAATTAGGCTGACAACACCATATACAGTCGTCAATCCAATTATCACCGCCATTGTAAAAATAAGTGAAGTCGCCAATTTGTCTAGAACCACCACTTCGTTCTATTTTTTTCTTTTTTTGAAAATAGGGTAGATTGAAAATATTTTTGAAACCTAAATTATTTTAAGAATAAATTTAAAAATACGTGTTAATTGAGTAAAAAAATTCGAATTTAGGATGCGAATGAATTTTCTAAAATACTAGACTCCAGATAAAAAATGTAACGACATAAATGGACTAGAATAAATTTTGGTTTAAATACATTTTTGGTCCTGTAAGTTAGGAGTTTTTAAATTTGGTCCGTGTAATATTTTTTTGTCGGGATCAATAAACTATTTACACCGTAAATTTATTAAGGATCCAATAGAAAAACAAGTGTGACATGTGAAAGTATTCTCATAGTCTGCTTGGATGTGAATTCTCTAACTTTATTGAAGGAACTGCACCTTCCCTTCACTCTCTCTCCCTCTAATAACATCATCTCTCTCATCTTTTCCCTCCATTTTTTAACCTTTTTTCGCCTCTCTCACTCCTAAAATAAGCCTAAATTAAGAAAAGTTAGACGATAAAAAAGTTAAACAATCAGCTTCCATCTTATTTTAAGCAACCGTGTCTTTTTTTTCTTTATCACGAATGCATCGATGCAAGTTACTGTCACGGGTCACGCATCCATTTATTTTTTATCCTTCTTTATTTTCTCAAAACAACCATACAAGAGACAACAATTCAACAAATTGATAATTTCATTCCAAAATATATAATATCAACAATTTCAAGACTATCGCCAAACACATAAACAACATTAATATATCTAGCCTTCTGTAAATTTTTATTTTTTTTCTGATAGAATTGATCTATAACAAAAACATTTGTAAACAATTTTTTCAAACTAAGAAAGTTTCTTTTGCTGCTTGTCCTTCCATTCTTTTATATTAGCATCTATCCTTGCTTTCACCTTTGTCTCAAATCCAGGATATGGTTCATATCCAATAGTCGTTTGGAGAATCTACAAAAACAAATTAATATAATCAAATTCATTTTAATTTTCAATAACTACGAGACATATCCAACAAATGTACTATGAGGTAAAAAAATACTACCTCAAGAACAACGAAGAAAGGAGCCATTAGAAAAGCTTGAGCAAGATTGTCCAATAGAGCTGGTGCACGTTTCTGACAAAAAAATCGATATGACATAAGTGAAATGTGAAAAAGAGATAACTTTTCTACAAATTGAATAATATGTCTTTAACTAATCAATTAATATTATATCGTTTTATTATATTTAAAGATAATACTAACTTGTTTATTTGAAGCACAAATTAATATTATTTTATATTTAAATGTTCATTTAATAATTTAAATTTTGTAGACAGTCCCAACTAAAAGACGCCATTTACGATTAAAAATAAATTATGATTCAAGTTAGCATTGCTTTATATTTAAATATTTATTTAATAATTTAAATTTTGTAGACAGTCCCAACTAAAAGACGCCAATTACAATTAAAAATAAAGGGTAATGTTAACTTGTGTCCTTGGGGCACAGGTTAAGAAAATCATTTTTAGTAAATTTGTATTGGAAAAAACAATTTAAAAGTTAATTTTATACTTTAATTAAAGTTTGTACACAATTTCCAAGATAATATTTCTTAATTTAGTTCTTAACATGTGCCTTTGTGGCACAAGTTAAGATTACCCAAAAATAAATTATGAATCCTTCACGTGCAATCTTGTGCAAAGACCACAATCAATTTCAAAACACTTTTACCTAGGGTAAAAACCTTAACGCTAAGCCGAAAGAGTATGCAAAGAGTCCGCAAAATAAACTTGAAGATTATTCCTTCAATTTTAAAATATCTTTTGTTTTAAAAGGAAAATTTTATTTCAAAATGAATATCATCTATCTAATAATAATTATTATTTTTTTTAACTGTGTCATATAATTATTATTTTATACAAACTGTATGAAAAACTTTAAACTACAAGGTTTTTCAGCTATGAGAGAATGATTTACCTCAAATACACCATGGCCAATAAACTGGCCTGTCCAACAAAACAATTGAGCAGCCAACACAATCTGAATCATCATAGATTATCATCATACTCATGTAAATAAATAATTAAGTCAAAAAAAAGTAAACAAAAACATAGCCATTAAAATTCAGAAACTAATTTCATTAACAACAGTTACACAATTTAACAAAACAAACAAACCTAAAAAGTCTAATAAAGTACCTTCCAAGCGAGTTCGAAGCCGATGGAATTAGCTACGAAACTCGAAGAAACCCAACAAAGAAAAGTAAGAACAGCAACAAACGAACCAGCTTTAATATCCAAAGCAACGTAGAATAGAGCATAGAAAACGGTAAAGATAAAACCGATGTTAAAAATCAAGACATGGGGAATAATATTATGGAGTGTTTGGGAAGGAGAAAAAATGGGAGGAGTAAAGTAAAGGAGAATAAGAGTGGTGAAGAGGATAGGCCAAACAAGGAATACGTGAATTATGATGTTAATTGGGTTGCTGTGATAAGAGCCATAGAAGGCAAAGTGCTTTTCCAGATCTAACAACCCCATTTTTTTATTAGGGATGGAAAATATTATTTTGAATTTGGTTTATTCAAAGTGATTTATGTATTGTTTTCCTTGGGTTGCGTATCAGAACTTGTTGTTTCGGTTTTCTCGAGATAAGGGTTTTTCGCACACGGGTTTGAACAAAGTTATGATTTAATATATTATCTGTGGTCCTTAAATATATGGGATTTCATTTTTAGTTTGATGCCTAAAATGTTGAACCTGACATGGCAAGCCAGTTGGGTGTTTAGTGTACTACTGCTAGCACACAATATCTTATAAACTTCTTTCAAATTTTTTTTTTATAATTCATTAAATTTTTTAGATAAATATAATTCAACATTTATTCATAAAATTTATATTTAAATATATTTTAAATTTCCATATATATATATATATATATATATATATATATATATATATATATATATATATATATATATATATATATATATATATATATATATATATATATATATATATATATATATATATATATATATATATATATATATAGCAAAATATCATTTTTGATCCCTTAACTTTATCATTACATTTAAATTAGTCTCTAAATTATTTTTTGTGTTAGATTAATCCATTAACTATTTAAAACGTGTCTTATTGATGTTTTTTTATATATATGGGATTTCATTTTTAGTTTGATGCCTAAAATGTTGAACCTGACATGGCAAGCCAGTTGGGTGTTTAGTGTACTACTGCTAGCACACAATATCTTATAAACTTCTTTCAAATTTTTTTTTTTATAATTCATTAAATTTTTTAGATAAATATAATTCAACATTTATTCATAAAATTTATATTTAAATATATTTTAAATTTCCATATATATATATATATATATATATATATATATATATATATATATATATATATATATATATATATATATATATATATATATATATATATATATATATATATATATATATATATATATATATATATATATATATATATATATATATATATATATATATATATATATATATATATATATATATATATATATATATATATATATATATATATATATATATATATATATATATATATATATATATCAAAATATCATTTTTGATCCCTTAACTTTATCGTTACATTTAAATTAGTCCCTAAATTATTTTTTGTGTTAGATTAATCCATTAACTATTTAAAACGTGTCTTATTGATCTTTTTTTAAATTTTTAGCGACGGATTTTTAAATTTTTTTCGTCCCTAATTAGACGAAAAGAACCAATATGACACGTTTTAAAGATTCAAAGAACCAATCTGACACAAAAAATAATGAAGGGACTAATCTGAACCTAAAAATATAATTAAGGGACCAAAAATAGTATTTAACTATATTTTTTTAATTTAAAACTTCATATTTTAAAATTTTGAATTTTGGTTCTTCTACTACAATATTTTTGAAGTTTTAATATTCAATTCAATTTTAATGTCGTTTTTAAGTCAGGACATTTGAAGTTATGATATTACATTGATTAAATTATACAATTGAAATTTCAAAAAAATTATAATTATTATTTATTTTAATAATAGTATTGATTATTATATTTATAATAAAATAAGTGAATAAAATAAAATAAATTAAAATTATTAAGAAAATCATTTTCTAATATTTTTTATTTAATAATAATATAGATTATTATATTTACAAAAAAAAATATTTGAAAAAAATAAATTAATTTAAATTAAATTAAATTATTAAGATTTATGCAACAATTTTAAACTTTTTGAAGAAAAGTTTTAGTATCTATTGTAATTATATTCAATTCGATAATTAATCTTTGTAATTGTGCGTAGAGAATATCTGATTTATATAAAAAAAAATTATCAAAGTTTTTTATTATTTATTTTTTTCTAAAACTCGGATGGCTTTAATATTTTTTTAAAGAACAAATTGTTTCAATTATATTTAAAGTTTTTAATAAAAATAATTAATTAAAATTTTCAAAATTTAAAAGTTGTCTTGAGGTATTTTGAACCAAAGACTTCAATAAAGCAACTACCTAAAATTTAGCATGTGCGCCACCACAACTTATTGACGTAACTTTATTGTTTATGCTTAATAATATTTAATATTTAATGTTTTAAGACCCGAATAAATGAGTCATTAGTCGAATCGTATGTTTGTTGATTCAATAAATAAATAAAATTAATTTTAATTTCGACAAAATTAAGATTATGAAATCTTTAAAGATTTTTTAAAAAAATTTAAACAAATTTTCAATGCACACGCCAAAATAACATTAAAGAACTCGAGATATCTGTTTTGGGTCGGCCAAAGGCCTAAAAAGTCAAGGCTCAATCCAATACAAGTCCACTAAAAACGACCAACGCATAAAAGTCATGACATGTGAGATTCAAGTTATATTTTTATGATTTCCACTTTTACTACACTCATCTTGAATTTAGAACCAACTTGAGCGTTCGAGTGTTAAACTTGTTGATCGACCTCGTGCCGCCACATCAGAGATCAATGCATTCGGTTCAAGTTTCCTCATCATCGTTATACACCAATTATGGTTCCCAAACGAAACAGTCGCATCGCCTGTGACAATTGACTCCAAATTTCTGCAAAATCCCACGAATACACCATCCTCAATCTAAAATCAGAACTCTACTAGAACTAGGAGAAAAAAATATAGACTACATGTACTTCTTGATGAGGAGATCGATTATATATTCATATTTTTTCCATCTTAGTTGACCATCACCGTCGAAATCCACATCGTTGTGAAATTCGACGATGATTCGACATTGAATCACCTATTTCTAGCAACAACTGAGACTAAACCGTAAGGCGAGCATCGAGTGGCATTTGGATGCCTAAGGTACGAGAAGACAAGTAGAACCTCTAATTCGGAGTTTCCTACAGGTATCGTCATTAGCATCGCTAGTAGAGGACCTATGAGATCCATTGTATACGACAAAATAACCACAATAACTTCTGATCCGACGCAATCGAGCTATCAAATCTCTGCTAATCAGACCTGAGTGCATGCGTTGGCAGAGATCCATTGACCTTCGACAATTATATAATTCACCCTTATGGAAGAATAAGTATAACACCGACGATAAGGAAAAAGCGAGCGAGAGAAAGGCGTCCATAATTTTCTGATAGTTCCGCATAGAGGCGCCATTGAAGACGTCCTCGTTAAGTCCGTCCTGGCCAGTTAAACATCTTCAGCAACTTTGCTTGGAAATATTCTAGAAGGAAAGAAAACTATACTCAATTTGTACTGGCTGAGAAGGAGCATATTGAAGAAACCACCTTCGCGATACCTAATCACTTTTTAACAATGTTTTCAAAATAAACCATATCGAGTTAATCCAGTTGGATCCGTGACGAAAATTTTGAACCTCTTTTCAAGCACACCATTGACTGGACTTCGAAGGATTGCTAGAAGCCAAAGTGAACCATAAAACAAAGAGATTGGTGGGAAAAATAACTCAGTCAACTGTTCATAAGAGCTGGCTGAGTGCAGTCATCTACAGATGGTTTTACCTCTATGGTTATGGACATGCAAAGGATCCAAAAATACATTGCCTGCTCTATATCTCCCCTCAAACAAAGGTACATATACGAGACCCTTGAGAGATATGCATGCCCCTTGGGTATCTAAAGAGAAGGATCACATCCACGACACCAAAGATACATATCCTTGTAAAGTGAGGTTGACCGACAAACACCTTCATTGTGACATCCCTGATAGTGCAGTCATCTAAAGAGTGAATGAAATAGAAGTATAATGCACCTTCATTGCAACTTTCTCTATGAGATAGGTACTTCATAACCCTTTGCACAATTTCAATATTTAATTCACTAACTATTAGAAATATTGCATACACAAGAGGATTTGTAACCCTCTGCATGATGGTGTTAACCATTCTTCTAAGGCATATTTCACACTTGGTGAACATGCTTCAAGCATAGCTGGTACACCCTCTTTTTGGAACTAGTCGCTCCAAGAGTGTAGGCGATGGAGTCCAAAGACGTATTTCCTGAACTAGGAAAAACCTTGTGTCGCTACTCGAAAAATGCACCGTGCAACGACGGGGAGGCGAAAAAGATAGACAGAAGAGTCGCCACCGAACTTTATTTATCCCATGAGGGGAAAGGAAAATATCGAGAAAACCTTAAGAAAAGAATGGATAAGATGGTCTCGCAACCATGAACGGGTTCGGAAGCCGGTTATGCGAGGGGAAGGTATTAGCACCCCTCGCATCCATCGTACTCGATGGGAACCTTTTGTTTGTCGATGTGCTAAAATATTATGCTATAAAAGAGTGTTCCAAAGGATAGAGGGAAAGGGTTAGGAACAGGAAAGTTAGGAGGAAAGAGAGAACGGGGAAGAAAAGAGAAAGAACAGACTCGGTAGGACTTCGCAGTCCTAGGCCTACGTATTCTCGACGGGTGTGAGAAAGTCAGAGTCGACGTAGTTCGGGAAACTACAGATAGGGGGGATTGTGCTCGCCAAGGATTGTGGCCCTTGTGCCTACGTATTCTCATCTGGTATGAGAAATCAGAGCAGCCGTAGTTCGGCCTACGGTGTGTTGATGTTTTTTATGGATGATGCTATCGTGCGCATTCTAGCAGTTAGGTGTTTTGCTGCTCGCTCGTTAGAGACTTAGGCATTACCTGTTTGCGGTAGAACGGACGTAACATATCCTTTTGAAAGATTGATTAGTTTTCGCCACGCGAGGCAAGAAGTCACGTTTGATTGATTGGATTGTTTTTTAGGGGCGAGACAGGTCCTCGGATAGTAACCCCTACGGGTAGTACCCAATTCATTGTCTCAAAGCTTTTGTTATAAAAAGGTGTGGCGAACGAGGCGTCTTCGTATTGAAAGACGAGCGTCGAAACCACCCTCACTACAGTGGGCATCCCTATGCTCGGAGAAGAAGAGGTCTACACCCAATCCTCTCTCTTTAATTCAATGCAAAGAGAACTTCGTTCTCTTATTAAAGATGTTTTT